CCGGGCTGGCTTAGATCGCCAGCAGGCGATCTAGCCAATGGTTCTTTAGATCGCCTGCTGGCGATCTAAGCCAAGCTGGCTTAGATCGCCAGCAGGCGATCTAGTCGGGGAAGTGTAGATCGCCTGCTGGCGATCTAGTTGGGCTCGTCTAGATCGCCAGCAGGCGATCTAGTCGGGAACCTGACTAGATCGCATTCTGCGGCGGTTTCGGTTTTTCGCGGTTTTGCAAAACGAGTTCTCGAGTTTAATAAAACGAGTTTCTCGAGTTTTTATAAAAAGATCTTCAAGTTTTTATAAAACGATCTCTCGAGTTTTATAAAACGATCTTCGAGTTTTTATAAAACGATCTTCGAGTTTTTATAAAACGATCTTCGAGTTTTATAAAACGATCTCTCGAATTTTATAAAACGATTTTCGAGTTTTTATAAAATGGTCTTCGAGTTTTATAAAACGATCTCTCGAGTTTTATAAAGCGATCTTCGAGTTTTATAAAACGATCTTCGAGTTTTTATAAAACGGTCTTCGAGTTTTATAAAACGATCTCTCGAGTTTCATAAAACGGTCTTCGAGTTTTATAAAACGATCTCTCGAGTTTTATAAAACGATCTTCGAGCTTTTTAAAACGATCTCTCGAGTTTTATAAAACGATCTCTCGAGTTTTATAAAATGATCTCTCGATCTCTCGAGTTTTATAAAATGATCTCTCGATCTCTCGAGTTTTATAAAACGATCTTCGAGTTTTATAAAATGATTCTCGAGGCTCATAAAACTGTTGCGTTTACGCGTTTGCGGGGAATTTTGGCTATTGATTCCGTCGTACCGATTTTGACCCCAACAAAACCCATGGTCATTCCACCGTGAACTGCAAAGTTCTCGGCGCCAGACTGGCCGCGAAGCTAGTCGCGGGAGAACTTTCCGAGATATCAAGCGTCAAGGATCTAATCCGCGACTCGGACCGCGTCCCGAGGAATGACAAAAACGCGCAAACCCCGCCTCAGGGAAATCAGTCGGGCGAAAAACACGGAAGAAAAACAGACGAGAAGGGTAACGATGCTAACCGCCGTAAAATCAACATGATCATCGGCGAATCGCCATACTTTAACGACACCGTCTCGTCGATAAAATCCTACCAACGTAAAGCCGAAACCGGCTCGAGTTGGAAGG